GCCCACCCTCACGAGGGGCAGCAAAGTCGCCGCGCCTCCGTTCAGCACCAACAGCAGGGGCACCATGGGCAGCAGCTCCTGCCGCTCATCCACGACCAACATGGCGATCGTTGTGTTCTTGACGTTGCCGGTTGTTGGCGACCAGCAAGGCAGCGGGGCTGCGTTGATGTTGATCCCCATTACCTGCAATAGGAAGACGGCCACCGAACATCCTTCGCATAGTTGCAACTATACTCTCCCCAATCATGTCACCAAGTGATGCGCGAGTTTTTGGGAGATCATCTTTCAGATGTTGATGTCCATGTACACTCGAGTTGGATCCTGTCATGTTAACTCTTGGAAACAAGTGGACAAAAGAAAAATATATGTGGAAAACACTCAGCTCACCTTCTTGCTTACCCAAATTCTAATGATTCCTTGGCGGCTATGCGGAAGTAGCAAATCAGGAGTGGACAAGCGAATGAAAGGAAGGAAGCTGACGGTTTCTAGGTGGATCTGGGTGGGGTAAAAAGGGGGGGCTAGTGCTGAGATCCAATCGATGCAAACCAAATGAATAAGAAAATTTGTAGATCCTTGCACCACGTTTGAGCTGCAACACTTGCCACTACAACTTCTGAAATTTCTCAGCCAAATGAAAATGATTGCACACTTGCTCAACACTTTCTCTTCTCTTTTTTTTTTTGCTTTTTTCACTCTCTTTTTTTTCACTTTTTCTCTCTCTTTTTGCAGCACAAAAGATCCAACAAGACTCAAAGAAAACAGCAACAACTTTGGATAGAACTTGGTGCAAACACAAAGATGAAAGCAAACAACTAGATCCCAGCAAACAAAGGCTTGGATTTTTTGTGGCTTTTTGGCTTTGGACTCTAGGACGGGGAAAACCAAACTAAAGAGGATAGACCTAGCAACAAAGATACAGATCTTACCGTGCAAACCTTGCTCTGAATACCAGATGATGCGACCCCGTCTTCGAAGAAGAGGGAGTACAAGGGGAGGTCCTATCTTCACGGCGTAGGATCGATAAATGGATGAGGATAACTAGCTGCAAGCAGACGGAAAATGGAAAATAAGAGATCATGACCCAACGAGGAGGATGCTCACCAAAGCTTACAATCCGAACATTCGCCGATCCACAACCCGCAATACTACCCCCACAACCATGCTCAAGTCATGGAGCACGGAATAGGTGCAATCCGCAAGGGAAACCATGAACTCTAACCCACACAACACGATCTAGTCGTGGAGCACGAATTAGGAGCAATTTATCAAGGAATCACGAGAATAAGGGTAACAAGAGCTCTCCAATCTCAAGAGGAGTCTCCGTCTTTGGTCTTTGATAGAAATGGCAAAAGTCCCCAACAAAGGGATGAGCTAGCCTATTTATAATCGGGACAACCCCCCAGGATAGGTGTGAAAGAGAACTAGCTTCTATAACCATCTTAGGTGTGAAAGTGAACCAACTTTGTTTGACTAAATGGCTTCAAGACTTAATGAGGTAGCTTCTGGAAAACTCTCGTTGGAGGTGGTTGGCAGTTCCCGACCAAACGTTGTTCATTGGGGTCAAACAATGTTTCCTTCAGCAGAAAACTTGAGTCCTAGAAATCTTTCGCAAGTTGGGATATCCAAACTCGTGCAAAACATTGTTTCGTCAAAATCGGAACAATGTTTCTTTAGCACACGACTCATTCTTCATGGATTCCTAACTTTGTTTCCTCGCCATAAAACATTGTTTTGCACGGACTGAAATGTGTTTGGCCTTCTTCGATATCGCACCTGAGTTCAACCAACAACAAAGGAAGTGAAGGCACAACCATGTTTTGAAGGTCAAATGATAGACTTAAGTTAGCGTTCACCTGATATGTATTTGCATTGCGCGACTTCTTGTGATTGGACCGTTGATGGTTGGTGGTGTGGTATCCATGGTTGGGATGTCCTCATCATCCTCCCTCTCTTGAAAAGGAGTCGTCCTCGACTCTAAGGATTGAACCGTTTTCATGTCCTTATCACCCATCCATCTATCTTTCCAAAACAACACCTTATTTCCGTCCCCAAGTTTCCAATGAACCAGACTGTCAAAAGCCGCATGTACTTGTGGATCCTTGGCCATTGGGAGCCCATGCCATGGCCGGCTTGAATCAGTACGCCTAAGCCACTCCCAACGCAATCTTAAGGCCAGACCTTGACAGTTTAAGTCTAGCAGCCCAAGTCCACCTAGCTCCTTAGGCCTGCACACTCTTTGCCGGGCCACTAGGCACTTCCCTCCGTGGATCGCTTCTGATCCTTCCCAAAAAATGCTCTGTAGCGCTTGTTCACTTGCTCGATTGCCCATTTGGGAGCGTCCGCTATAATAAGATGGTGAGTGGGGCGCGCCATCACCACATCATGCACAAGCACCAGTCGTCCTGCTCTAGTGATAAGCCCCTTCTGCCATCCTGGCATGAAGTTAAGCACACTGTCCACTACTGGTTGCCACTCCGAGCGCGTCAATTGCCATATTGAGAGTTGTAGCCCCAAGTACTTGCAGGGAAAGGACTCCATGCTCCACGACATTGCACCCTAAACCAGCTCCTTGTCGCCATCCTCATCTCTGATCATGATAGCCATGGATTTTCTATAGTTGATGTGTAGTCCCGATGCATTCCCAAAAATGTGGAGTGCTTCCTTGACAAACCTAAAATCCGAAACGGTGGGCCTGACGAATAGGGCGACATCGTCCGCATAGATAGGAAGCTGTTGCATGGGAATACAGCCCGGCATTCTACTCAACACGCCACACTCCTGGGCTCTTGTGATGAGGGATGTGAGGACATCCATGGCAATGACAAACAGTAGCGGCGAGACCGGGTCTCCCTGCCGTAGCCCTTGAGCGTGTGAGAATTTTTGCCCCGCATGTCCATTAACCACCACTCGAGAAGAGGCCGTCGAGAGTAAGGTTGCTATCCAGGACAGCCATGTATCCGAAAACCCCTTGGCACGTAGAACCTCAAATAGGAAAGGCCAAGACAAAGTGTCAAACGCTCGTGAGATATCCAACTTTAGCATGACTCCTTTCGCTCTCCGGCGATGGAGGGATCGAGCCACCTGTCTGACGAGCATAAAATTGTCATGAAGATTCCTCCCCTTGATGAACGCCGATTGATTGGCTTGGACAAGCTCATTCATGCGTGGGCACAATCTGTTTGCAAGAAGCTTGGAGCCGATCTTGGGCAAGCTATGAACCAGGCTAATGGGTCGAAAGTCCCCCACACGACACACACTAGCCTTTTTGGGAACTAGGTGTTGGGGCGCACCCGTGGCGCGCCTCTTGAGGGGGAGTTAGGCGGTGCCTGGTTGTGTTCGCCCCTTTAACGCTCTTCTCTATTCTAATTAGCGTTTGGGATGAATGCTTTAATTAAGAAACTTAGCAGCCGAAATAGAAAATATATACTCTACAAAGAAAGCCCATTATGGATTTGAACATGAAACATGTGACTGACAATGGTGCACTTAACATAAGCAACAACATAGGTTTAGCGTCTTGAAAAGCATGTGATAAGAGGGCCCAAAAGTAAACCATAGGTTATCACAGTATATAGCATAATTAAGAGTGCTTAGTGGTACATTATATTAGATTATATTGACACAGGGGCGGCAACGTCTTCGATGGTGCATCCAGAGGCAGTGCATGGTGACAACAAAGCGGCACTTTAAAGTGATCCTGAAATGAAATACACAAAAGTCTCCTTCGCGAATGTTGGCGCAGCAGCGAAACTCAAACCAGTTGGTGGTTATAGTGGCCCTCTTATCAGTTCCTAGCATGATGCGACATTCAGCGAGCAGATTGCCATCTGCAAGTCTGACCATGAGTGTATATCATTGTTTGAATCAATGTAGTCCAATAGGTTCTCTTCAGTATAGTTAAACTGAAAATACTGGTAGAAGAAAGCAAGTTATTTACATGGACAGAAATTGTTGTGTGATATGGAAGATAAGAGCGTGTTCTATGGATATTAATGATATTAATGGTGATAGCAAAGTACTGTTATTGAGTACATGTCTTGAGGACCCAAATTTATGAATGCTAAAGTAAAATGGCTGATGAAAGAGCAAAGAGAAGTCAATATTTCTGGTGTCTAGTTGATGATTTGAGTATGTACAGTCTACTTTTGTAAGATGACTAAACTGCTGACTGTTAAATAGTATGAACAGAACAGAAATTTTTATATGTTAAGCATGGATAGAACAATAGTATATATAAGAAACTCTGTATGCAACTTCCGTTTGTATCATCACAAACTTACAGCTGTAAATGTAATTAAAATGCATAAGAAAACAGCATTGTATATTCTGTACAATGGCTGGTGAAGCTCATGAAAAGATTCTCCTCTTTATCATGTGCATTTGTTCGTATCACATGGATGAAAAATATGAGATGGAAAAGACATCAACCTACAATAAACCTCTTCCAGATTTAGTACCAACTTAAATACAAGAATGAAGAGCTGGTCTAAAAGAGAGTGCCAATTCTAAGTTCGTGGAGAATACATGCATACCCAGTGTACATTGGAGCAACCATTATATATCAATCATGCAAAAAATGCAATCACATACACACACGTTTATTTTCATCAGACAACACAGTGATCCCATCTAATCAACGATACTTGTTGAGAGAAACCAAGCATGTGAGTGACTTAGTAGCAGGGACAAATAACAGAGAAGGGAACGACCTGGAGACAAGCAATGTAGATGCTCTGGCGCATGATGTCGATGAGCCCGCCATCGTAGTCGACGACGGAGCAGCGGTCAATCCAGATGTCGAAGGATCCGCGATTGTTATGGATGCCGTCGATGTCGTGGCTGCAGCCAGCCTCGAACTGGACTGAAATAATCCAGAATTAGTACCAACGACATTTGGCAGCAATAAAATACTAATGCATCTAATTATGATGCCATATGTGGCAAGTAAACAAACCCAAAGCAAGAAGCGTGTTATCATCGGTAGTACGGTTAGTCTCCTCCAGCATCTTAACAATGGAAAGGCAGGCAACAATGGAAAGATGCTCCAGATGTGCTCAACTAATAACCAAAGTAAATATGGCCAATAATATAACCTCTCCCTTTTGGTTTTGCCTTGCATCATGCCAAGATAAGAACATCAAAAGGATGTAACTTTTCTAGCCTAGTCCTTGGTGCAGGACTGACGATAGGTAGAAAGCCTCGATTTGAACAACAAAGTATATATTGTACGGAAAAAGTATACCATTATATTTATATGGGAAAGAAGTTTCCGATGATACATTTTGTAGGCATATAACATATATTTTGTTGGTCAAGCCCATGACCAGGGTTCAGAAATGAGATTGATATGGGGCTTATAGAAGGGGAAAATGGAAATTATGGTCACCAGTTAGTATTGGGGTTTGATTTTTACTGGTGGTAGATAAGATCCACCATTAGTTTCCATGGAATTGGAGGGGCAGTAAATTGCTTTTGGAGATACGAGTGAAGGCAACACACCAGCAGAAGACAATGGAGGAACAAGAAAGCAGAAAACACCCGGTTCTGTTTACGTAAATGTTGCTACTTTGCTTTAGTCCAGCCAAGTAAAAAAGAGAGGCAGAGTGAAACTGGAAATGTTCTAAAAAAAGTGAAACTGGAAATGAAATAAAAGAGGTTCTCGTCCTGTAACGCAATGCAACAAAGCCCGGACACCATTGTCTTTCTGTTCATGCAGCCGTCCATCTGCATATAAACTGGCGAAGGAGATCGGGCGAGGCAGAGACCTGTTACCTTGCTGCGGGAGCCGTGGTAGTGGGTGAGGGTGTAGGCAAAGGTGTAGGAGACAACAAAGACGAAGGCGCTGAAGAGCACAACTGACCCACCGGACAGCACCCGAGAACGGGAACGAACAACAAAACTTAGCCAGTCCTTAAATTAACACAGGATAGTAAGTCTAAAATCTTCCAAAAAAAGGTAGCAATAACTGGACAAATGTGCACTTGTAACTCAGTTGAATCTAGACTAACTACTCTAGAGTTGAATCTAGACTAACTACTCTAGAGCTCCATGCTACAGCAACGGCTGCCTGTTGCAAAATTTAAGAGAGGCTATTGAGGTTACCTTTACGTAGGTGAAGATTTCCTTTGACAAGAACTTGCCTTTCTGATCTATGCCCACCACATTGATGTTACATCTTTAAGTTCTCGTGCAGCAGAGAAAGATCTTAACAAATAGAGCAAACCAAATCTGCTGAATCAAACAGGTAAGCTTCCTGTCTTCGGTTTACATGCTTTTTCCTAAGCTTCCATGTTTGAAAGGTAGCTAGCACTCTGTAATCATACATGAGTTATAACCATATCGGCATATGGCAATGGCAGGAGAAGATATTGTCAAATGTAAACTCTGAAAATTCTAAATTGACAACAGAAAAATAATGACATGAACATAAAAGGCATTCATCTCCTACAACTGAAGCGCGTACATCTAGCAAATTAAAGCACTCGTTCGTGTAATTAGTTTCAGATTAAGCTTTCGCACATTACCATGCATCTTTTAGAACGAAGAAATCATACATCACCAAAAAACTACAGAAAGGTTACCTAGGTGAAGATGGGAAGAAGGTGCTGCCGTCCCCTTGCTCTCCTTTGACCCATGTGACCGAAAGCCGCCGGCGCCCCCCTTCCTCCTCCGCCACCGCCATCCTCGCCACACGGCTTCAGCTCCCAAACCATCGGCACCGCCGTCCTCCCGATGCAGATGCAGGTTGCC